GGGGTGGGGGAGAAGGTCTGAAAGAAGTCTACTCCCTCTCGCTGACTGAAACCTCGAGCAACGTAACGAGCCTTGAAGACAGGCGGAGAACCTGGCGGCCGCTTCACCCTGAAAATCCACATGCCATCGACGATGTTCGCCCCAGGAGGGGGAACCTCGTCGACGTAAGTGCCTGTGGACTTCCAGGATGCCATCTCTGCGTCCATGGCTGTCTGCCACTGAGAGGAGTACTCACCCGCGATCGCCTCAGCGTAAGAGCGCGGGGTCGGGATGTCTGGAGCATCCGGGTCTCCCTCAGGGGCAAGCAGCATGGACACGAGATGAGGCGCAGCGGCTGCAAGACACTCAAGGTCCTCCAGCCTGTCCTCAAGGACGTCCGTGCCAAGAGCACACTCACCCTCGACGGACGGAGGACAGACAGACTCAGACTCAGCAACAAGACTAGCGGCGTATTCTAGACTACAGGCAGCAGCAAAGTCAACAAGCTCAGCGACTAAGGCAGACGCAGCAGTAGACTCAAACGACGGGTCAGTGACAACTGTGGCTAGCAGACGCGTGACAGTAGGGTGAGCAGCATGAGCGCGTTCAGAATCAGGCTCTGGAACGTCAGGCAGAGAAGACGCAGGAGGGGACGGCAGGGGAACACGCTGCGGAGCAGAGGAAGGACGCAGGGCCATGAGGTGTGTGCCGGCGACAGCCGGCGGACGCTCACGAGGAACACGACGACCAGTACGACCAGTGCGGACAGTGCGAACAGGCGAGACAGGACGAGACGCAGGCTCACGACGCTCAGCAAGACCGCCTGTCAGCTCAGTGTAAGGAAAAGGAGCAGGCAGCGGTGAGCCAGGCCGTAACGGAAGACCAGTAGAAGACGGGAGGCTAAGAACCTGGCGAAGTATGGAGCCAGGCGGTGGCAGAGACGAAGGTGACGGCGGAGCGAAGAATTGTCGCGGCGGTGCAGTGACACCAGCACCAGTAGCTCCAGCACCTCCTGCAGCTCCAGAACCTCCAGCGCCAGCACCCGCAGCAGCTCCAGAACCTCCAGCTCCAGCGCCACCAGCGCCAGCACCTCCAACAGCTCCAGAACCTCTAGCGCCAGCACCCGCAGCAGCTCCAGAACCTCCAGCTCCAGCGCCACCAGCGCCAGCACCTCCAACAGCTCCAGAACCTCCAGCGCCAGCACCCGCAGCAGCTCCAGAACCTCCAGCGCCAGCACCCGCAGCAGCTCCAGAACCTCCATCTCCAGCACCACCAGCGCCAGCACCTCCAACAGCTCCAGAACCTCCAGCGCCAGTACCCGCAGCAGCTTCAGAACCTCCAGCTCCAGCGCCACCAGCAGTAGCACCCCCAGAGCCGGCACCTCCAGCTCCAGGGCCCCCTCAGAGTCGACAGCAGCACCTCCAGGTCCAGCAAGACCTCCAGTCCCAGCAGCTCCAGTACCTCCAGTACGAGCACCTCCGGGACCAGCTGCTCCAGGAACTCCAGTAGAAACAACACCAGTAGCAGAGTCACCAGCTCCAGCGCCTCCAGCAGCAGGGCCCCTAGCTCCAGCAGCGCGACCCTGACGACTAACGTACCACTCATGCAGCTGCTGTGGGGAGAGAGGGACAGCGCCGGCTCCAGTGCCTCTAACACCAGCACCTCCCACAGCAGGGCCCCCAGCTCCAGCAGCTCGACCCTGACGGCTAACGTACCACTCACGCAGCTGCTGTGGGGAGAGAGGGAGACGACGACGAGAGTGCAGCGGCGAGGCACCAGCGGAGCGACTACGGAGACGGCCGCTCCAGGGAGACTGCTCACCAGACGCCTCAGCGCCCCCAGGTGCAGCACCCCCAGACTCAGTACCCCCAGGCTCAGCACCCCCAGACTCCTCACGCCCGGGCTCAGCACCTGCACCCCCAGGCTCAGCACCCCCAGGCTCCGCACCCCCAGGCTCAGCACCCCCAGAAGCAGCACCCCGAGCAGGACCACCCCCAGCAGGACCTGAGTCACCAGTGACCTCAACCGGCGCAGACAAGGGAGGAGGGTCTACCTGAGACACACCTGAAGGAGCAGGACCGGGAGCGGGGAGGGGGTCTACCTGGGGAGCACCTGGAGCGAGGAAGAGCGGCGGGGGGGGGAGAGGGGCAGTGCGGTAGGGGAAGAGACGGTAAAAGGGAACCGACTCGTCGAACATGACGTCCTGAGAGGGGAAGACACGGCGCGAGGTGGGGTGGTAAAACTGCCAACCAGGCGCGTCAGGGACAAAGCCAAGGAAGACACAGGGAACAGCGCGGGCGGAGAGCTTGTCCGCGGTGGTATCGCGGACAAAGGCACGAGAACCCCAGAGCCAGAACACCGACGCATCGCCAACCTCCCCTGTCCAACGTAGTGTGGGCGAGGTCTCCGGAACGGAGACACGGGGCCAGAGGTTGAGCTGATGCGCGGCGTAGCGGACCGCAAACGGCCACAGGAAATGGGGGGCAGCCGCATGGACCATGGAGGTACGAGCGACCTCCATGACCAAGCCAATGCGGCGCTCAGCAACCCCATTCTGCTGTGGAGAGGCCGGAAGCGTGAAAGTCTGGCGAATGCCCTCCCCACGACAAAAGCTCTGCAGAAGGTCGGAGGAAAACTCCCCACCTCTGTCAGAGTGCAGACGCAGGACGGGAAACTCCGTCCCGAACCGCTCGCGGAGCTGGAGACGGGCAGCGCGGATCCAAGGGATCAAAACATCAGGGACCTCACCCTTGGTGCGCAAGGGGAAGACCGTGGTGTAACGCGAGTAGTCGTCAACAACCAGCAGGAAGTACCGCTCGCGGTCCTGCCCACTGACGCGGGCTGGGCCCCACACGTCCATGTGCAGGGTCTGCAGGGGAGCAGTCGTCGGGGGAAACGAGGAGGAGTGAGGAGCGGCGCGCTGCCGCCCCTCGACACAGGGAAAACAGGGAGGAGCAGGCGAGGGTGGGAGGGGAGGGAGAACCCTGGGAAGACCAGAGACAAGAACACGGCGGTGCATGCTACGAAGGCGCTGCACCGAGGGGTGACCAAGGCGGTGGTGCCAAAGGAGGGTTTAGAGCAGCAGCCTCACCAGTACCTAGAGCAGCAGGCTCTATACCAGGGTCAGGCGGTACGCACAGGTAACAGGCACGGTCAGCACTAGTAGGCAATGCATACATGGCAGTGAGAATAGCATCATAGTCAAGAGCCAAGATATCTACCCTCTGCCCAAGCAGCTCCAGCCAGGTGGGGAGCTCAGCCTCGTCGCCAAACTCGGTACGCCAGGCGTCGCTCAGACGGGCGAAGCAGCGGGACTGTGTGTGACCAAGCGTCCCGCAAGCCTGACCAGCCCGATCACCTGTGCGAATGACGTACGGGCAGCGAACGGTACTCCGAGACCCTCTACTCTGAGAGTACCACTCGTGAAGCTGCTGGGACGTAAGTGTCTCGCGTGGACGCCGCTGCAGCTGCAGCTGGCCACTGCCAGACGCTCCCAACTGACCAGCTCCAGGGCGATAGCTACGACGGCTACCGCCACAACCCCAACTAGCGTACCACTCACGAAGCTGCTGGGGCGGGAGAGACTCGCGTGGACGTCGCTGGAGCTGCATCTGGCCACCGCCAGTAGCAGCAGTAGCAGAAGTAGCAGCAGTAGCAGCAGCAGCAGCCTAGCAGCAGTAACAGTGCGGGCAGGGCAGGTGCGGCAGGCAGGCAGGCAGGCAGGCAGGCAGACAGGCTGGCAGATGACGCGACAGCGCGCGAACAAGGTAGGTGCTCACCAGTGGCGGGAAGGGCAGGCGCTCGCCGGGCGAGCAGGGCCGGCGCTCGGCGGGTGGCGGCCGGGTAGGCGCACGACGGCGGCGACAGCGGGGCCGCGACAGCTGCGGCAGAGCAGGGCCGCGTCGGCGGTAGAGCAGGTCCGCGACAGCTGCTGCAGGGCGGGGCCGTGACCGCTGCAGGGCGGGGCCGCGAGGACTGCTGCAGGGCGGGGCCGCGAGGACTGCTGCAGGGTGGGGCCGCGACAGCAGCAGGAGGCTCCGCGGCAGCTTCTGCAGGGCGGGGCCGCGACCGTGGCAGGGCGCTCCGCGGCAGCTGCTGCAGAAGCGACGGCGGCAGTCAGGCAGGGGCGGCGTCCAGGGGGGGGGGGGGGCGTCGCGTCGAACAGGGGCAGCCGCGGCGCGCGGGGCTGCAGCGGGCTATGCGAGCTGCGGGCGCGGCGCCCGAAGCCGCAGCGGGCTGCGCGAGGACGGCAGCCGCGGCGCGCGGGGCTGCAGCGCGACGCGCGGGCAGCGGACGCGACGCGCGGGGCTGCAGCAAGCAGCGCGGGCTGCGGACGCGGCGCGCGGAGCAGCAGCGAGCCGCGCGCGGGCTGCCGAGGCGCGACTCGGGCAGCTTGGGCGACGCGCAGGGCAAAAACCGGGCCGCGCGCAGGAATCAGGTCTGCGCGCTCTAAGCAGCAGCAGACCGCGCAGTCAGCAGACAGCAGGCAGCAGGCAGACGGCGCGCGCAGCGCAGCACGTCACAGGCACAGTCACAGTCACAGTCTTGGGGTAGCGGTAGGTGGGCCCGAAAAAAAAAACGGTCCTACGGACCTACTGCTCTGAAACCATGTTGGAATCTAGAGACAGGAATGAGTGAACTATGAAAGAGTTAGGGTACAAGTATGAAACCCTAAACGGGGCTGTACCCCATATTGGCTACCCCACTATAGCCTACACATATATAACATGCATATACTTTGACACACACCTCGACAGGCACTGCAACATCCAACAGCTGAGGAGCTGCTGTCCTCACCTCACCAACATGTGTCTCATTCGGTTATTATTCATACCCTCTCTCAAGTGTAGCTCGCATCCATCCAACGAAATCCGCATCTGAAAATGCATACGCATATTATCAGACTTCAAACTTTGGGAGAGGACCCCGTACATTTCAGGACTACATGGTATTTGCACGAGGTAACAGCATATCAAGTAGAGATGTCGAACATCGGCGTCTGCGCGGTATAAGCTGCCACCTTAAAACAACTTCCACCCGGGGAAACTACCAAATTGTGGAATGGCAGATGCAGAAGGGGAGGATGAGGAGGTGGGGAAGAGGGTGGTCGGTGTGCGCTCAAAGAAGGCCAGTGGCACCGTCTTCACTCGCCGCCCCAACTGGTGGGTGGAGGAAAGGATGGGGGTCGAAGACAAATCACAGCAAGAGAGCACATTTACCACGACAGCTTATGGATGTGCAGCATGGATTGCGTTGCAAATTGTGAGCCGGGTTGACAAAAACATGCAGGGGAAAATTGCACTGGCAAACTGGTGTTCAGATAGCTTTCCCCAACCAAGATGACTGCACGTTGGCTTGAAGAAAAAAAGAAACATAATCAGGGGCTCTGCACCTAGCCTATTCTGCCGTGACACCGATAAATGCAGCTCTGCCTCTGCAGCACCATGCACGGCACACTGCCCACCGCACTGCACTCTACTGCGCTGTGCTGCACTGCAATGCACTGCCCTGCACCGCACCACACCGCACGGCACGCACCTCATCAGCCATGATGGTGCCGTAGGAGGTGGCGGAGAAGTCGGCCACGTTGAGCTCCACCGTGCTGCTGCGCTCCGATAGGTCCTTCTCCAGTGATGCCACGAACCTGCTCCCGTGGCAAGGGGAGAGCGGGAGGGAGGGGGGGAGAGGGAATGGGAGAGAGGCGAGACAAGGGAAGGCAGGCCATGTGGTGCAGAGGAATGTAGGTGGTGGTGAGCATGGAAGTGCCAGTGACCAAAGGATGCAGGGGGCTCACGCCCAGGTAGGGTGGAGAAGGAGAAGAACGGTTTGGTTCTCAAGGAAGAAGGGGTTTGAAAGCAGCAGGAGATTGGGGGAGCGTACCGTGAGACAGCGGGGCAGTAGTGGCGCTGCAGTGCCTCCACCTCCCACAGGCTGCTGTCTGTACGGTGGGGAGGAGGGCACGCACAGACACAAGAGGGGGGAAGCCAAGGGAGTGTGTGTGCAAGCTTCTGCTACTCGTGTGTGCGTGTTGTGAAGGACCCGCTGCTCACAATCTATCACCTGATGTAATGGTTTTGAGCCTACCAAGGGCACGAGCAGCCATGAGGTCGGTGGCATCCTCGTCAAACGGATCCCTCCCTGTTGGCCTCCCCCCTCTGCCTCCCTCCTCCCCTGCTCCTGCCGCCCTCTCTCCACTCCCTCCTCCTTTCCCTTCCCCCTCTTTTCTCCCCCTTCCCTCCTCTCCAGCTGAACCCTCCTCTCCGTCAGCATTGCTGTCCTCGCCCTTGCCATTCCCCCCCTTCTCCCCTTCCTTCTTCTCCCCTTCCTGCTGGGCCTGCCCGTCCTGCCCTCGCTGCGTGCTTTGCTTCTCTTCCCCTTCATCCTCCTCGTCACTGCTGCTGTCCTGAAATGTTCACACCACACCACACCACACCACACCACACCACACCACACACGCACAGGAGCGCTGTAGAGTCAAAGGCGCAACAACCACATCACATGGTGGTACACTGAAAAGAGAACGAGGTTGAAATGCCTGGGCACTGTGCACATTCCACAGGAGCAGCAGCAGGAGCTACAGTGGGGCAAGGGGAAACGGCAGCCAGCCCGGAAGCAAGGAGAAGGTGGTCCCATGGCCTCAACCTCGCACCCGTACTGCCGCCCATGCCGAGACAGCCCCGCCTCACCTGCAGTGTGTGTGGCGCCTCACCTGCAGTGTGTGTGGCGCCTCACCTGCAGTGTGTGTGGCGCCTCACCTGGAATGTGTCAGGGGCGGCAGCGCGGTGCACGAGGGGGGCGATGGCGGGGTGGCGGCGCAGCAGGTTGTGGGCGAGCGCCACCACCACTATGGCGCCCGAGGGGGGCGCGCAGAGCGACAGGCGGAAGAGCTGCTTCGTGAAGGCCGCTGCCATGTATGCCGGGAGCAGTGGTGACGCCAGACTCACATCCAGCAGCTGGGGCCGTTGAGAGGGGAAGGGGCGGGCGGACAGAAAGGGGGGGGTTGAAGAGAAGAGACAGTGTGCATGGGCGGCTCACTTGCACCAAGGGAGAACATGGGTTATACTTTAGTAGGTTCCCGCGATGCCATGGATGTGGTTACCAGCATGGCATGGCACCTGATGACATGTGGCATGGCATGTGATATGGCAATTGACAGCATGGCACCACACAGCACGGCACGGCACGGCACGGCACGGCACGGCACGGCACGGCACGGCACGGCACGGCACGGCACGGCACGGCACGGCACGGCATGGCACGGCACGGCACCACACGGCACGGCACCACACGGCACGGCACCACACAGCACGGCACCACACAGCACGGCACCACACAGCACGGCACCACACAGCACGGCACCACACAGCACGGCACCACACAGCACGGCACCACACAGCACGGCACCACACAGCACGGCACCACACAGCATGGCACCACACAGCACGGCACCACACAGCACGGCACCACACAGCACGTCACCACACAGCACGGCACCACACAGCACGGCACCACACAGCACGGCACCACACAGCACGGCACCACACAGCGCGGCGTGGCACCTCAAAGAACTTGGCGCGGTGGGCGGCGCGGAAGAGGGAGGAGTCGAGGAGGCGGTAGAGGCGCGGGTAGAAGTGGGGCGCCTCCAAGCCATGCTCCGTCACCAGCCGGAACAGTGATGCCAGCGCTGCCACTGCACACGCCCCGCCCTGCTCGTATGACACCGTGAGGAAGTCGCTGCGTGGTGGGATGGGTGGCCACGGAGAGGACGAGGGACAGGGGTGCAGTGGGGAATGTGAGGTGGTGGGGCGCGTGAGGAGTTACTACAGCACATGGTGTCAATGGGATGAGAACAAGCGAGGTGGGATGGGAGGGCAGGTGGTGGGGATAGTCAAAGAAGGGCATATGGCGAGAGAGTATCGGTGGGGCACAGGGGAGAAAGTGGAACATGCTTTGGACGCGAAACATGCTTTGGACGCGAAACATGCTTTGGACGCGAAACATGCTTTGGACGCGAAACATGCTTTGGACGCGAAACATGCTTTGGACGCGAAACATGCTTTGGACGCGAAACATGCTTTGGACGCGAAACATGCTTTGGACGCGAAACATGCTTTGGACGCGAAACATGCTTTGGACGCGAAAACATGCTTTGGACGCGAAAACATGCTTTTGGACGCGAAACATGCTTTGGACGCGAAACATGCTTTGGACGCGAAACATGCTTTGGACGCGAAACATGCTTTGGACGCGAAACATGCTTTGGACGCGAAACATGCTTTGGACGCGAAACATGCTTTGGACGCGAAACATGCTTTGGACGCGAAACATGCTTTGGACGCGAAACATGCTTTGGACGCGAAACATGCTTTGGACGCGAAACATGCTTTGGACGCGAAACATGCTTTGGACGCGAAACATGCTTTGGACGCGAAACATGCTTTGGACGCGAAACATGCTTTGGACGCGAAACATGCTTTTGGACGCGAAACATGCTTTGGACGCGAAACATGCTTTGGACGCGAAACATGCTTTGGACGCGAAACATGCTTTGGACGCGAAACATGCTTTGGACGCGAAACATGCTTTGGACGCGAAACATGCTTTTGGACGCGAAACATGCTTTGGACGCGAAACATGCTTGGACGCGAAACATGCTTTGGACGCGAAACATGCTTTGGACGCGAAACATGCTTTGGACGCGAAACATGCTTTGGACGCGAAACATGCTTTGGACGCGAAACATGCTTTGGACGCGAAACATGCTTTGGACGCGAAACATGCTTTGGACGCGAAACATGCTTTGGACGCGAAACATGCTTTGGACGCGAAACATGCTTTGGACGCGAAACATGCTTTGGACGCGAAACATGCTTTGGACGCGAAACATGCTTTGGACGCGAAACATGCTTTTGGACGCGAAACATGCTTTGGACGCGAAACATGCTTTGGACGCGAAACATGCTTTGGACGCGAAACATGCTTTGGACGCGAAACATGCTTTGGACGCGAAACATGCTTTGGACGCGAAACATGCTTTGGACGCGAAACATGCTTTGGACGCGAAACATGCTTTGGACGCGAAACATGCTTTGGACGCGAAACATGCTTTGGACGCGAAACATGCTTTGGACGCGAAACATGCTTTGGACGCGAAACATGCTTTGGACGCGAAACATGCTTTGGACGCGAAACATGCTTTGGACGCGAAACATGCTTTGGACGCGAAACATGCTTTGGACGCGAAACATGCTTTGGACGCGAAACATGCTTTGGACGCGAAACATGCTTTGGACGCGAAACATGCTTTGGACGCGAAACATGCTTTGGAGCGAAACATGCTTTGGACGCGAACATGCTTTGGACGCGAAACATGCTTTGGACGCGAAACATGCTTTGGACGCGAAACATGCTTTGGACGCGAAACATGCTTTGGACGCGAAACATGCTTTGACGGCGAACATGCTTTGGACGCGAAACATGCTTTGGACGCGAAACATGCTTTGGACGCGGAAACATGCTTTGGACGCGAAACATGCTTTGGACGCGAAACATGCTTTGGACGCGAAACATGCTTTGGACGCGAAACATGCTTTGGACGCGAAACATGCTTTGGACGCGAAACATGCTTTGGACGCGAACATGCTTTGGACGCGAAACATGCTTTGGACGCGAAACATGCTTTGGACGCGAAACATGCTTTGGACGCGAAACATGCTTTGGACGCGAAACATGCTTTGGACGCGAAACATGCTTTGGACGCGAAACATGCTTTGGACGCGAAACATGCTTTTGGACGCGAAACCATGCTTTGGACGCCGAAACATGCTTTGGACGCGAAACATGCTTTGGACGCGAAACATGCTTTGGACGCGAAACATGCTTTGGACGCGAAACATGCTTTGGACGCGAAACATGCTTTGGACGCGAAACATGCTTTGGACGCGAAACATGCTTTGGACGCGAAACATGCTTTGGACGCGAAACATGCTTTGGACGCGAAACATGCTTTGGACGCGAAACATGCTTTGGACGCGAAACATGCTTTGGACGCGAAACATGCTTTGGACGCGAAACATGCTTTGGACGCGAAACATGCTTTGGACGCGAAACATGCTTTGGACGCGAAACATGCTTTGGACGCGAAACATGCTTTGGACGCGAAACATGCTTTGGACGCGAAACATGCTTTGGACGCGAAACATGCTTTGGACGCGAAACATGCTTTGGACGCGAAACATGCTTTGGACGCGAAACTGCTTTGGACGCGAAACATGCTTTGGACGCGAAACATGCTTTGGACGCGAAACATGCTTTGGACGCGAAACATGCTTTGACGCGAAACATGCTTTGGACGCGAAACATGCTTTGGACGCGAAACATGCTTGGACGCGAAACATGCTTTGGACGCGAAACATGCTTTGGACGCGAAACATGCTTTGGACGCGAAACATGCTTTGCGAACGCGAAACATGCTTTGACGCGAAACATGCTTTGGACGCGAAACATGCTCTTGACGCGAAACATGCTTTCGGGGACGCGAAAACATGCTTTGGACGCGAAACATGCTTTGGACGCGAAAACATGCTTTGGACGCGAAACATGCTTTGACGCGAAACATGCTTTGGACGCGAAACATTGCTTTTGGACGCGAAACATGCTTTGGACGCGAAACATGCTTTGGACGCGAAACATGCTTTGGACGCGAAACATGCTTTGGACGCGAAACATGCTTTGGACGCGAAACATGCTTTGGACGCGAAACATGCTTTGGACGCGAAACATGCTTTGGACGCGAAACATGCTTTGGACGCGAAACATGCTTTGGACGCGAAACATGCTTTGGACGCGAAACATGCTTTGGACGCGAAACATGCTTTGGACGCGAAACATGCTTTGGACGCGAAACATGCTTTGGACGCGAAAACATGCTTTGGACGCGACATTCTTTGGACGCGAAACATGCTTTGGACGCGAAACATGCTTTTGGACGCGAAACATGCTTTGGACGCGAAACATGCTTTGGACGCGAAACATGCTTTGGACGCGAAACATGCTTTGGACGCGAAACATGCTTTGGACGCGAAACATGCTTTGGACGCGAAACATGCTTTGGACGCGAAACATGCTTTGGACGCGAAACATGCTTTGGACGCGAAACATGCTTTGGACCGCGAAACATGCTTTGGACGCGAAACATGCTTTGGACGCGAAACATGCTTTGGACGCGAAACATGCTTTGGACTGCGAAACATGCTTTGGACGCGAAACATGCTTTGGACGCGAAACATGCTTTGGACGCGAAAAACATGCTTTGGACGCGAAAACATGCTTTGGACGCGAAACATGCTTTGGACGCGAAACATGCTTTGGACGCGAAACATGCTTTGGGACGCGAAACATGCTTTGGACGCGAAACATGCTTTGGACGCGAAACATGCTTTGGACGCGAAACATGCTTTGGACGCGAAACATGCTTTGGACGCGAAACATGCTTTGGACGCGAAACATGCTTTGGACGCGAAACATGCTTTGGACGCGAAACATGCTTTGGACGCGAAACATGCTTTGGACGCGAAACATGCTTTGGACGCGAAACATGCTTTGGACGCGAAACATGCTTTGGACGCGAAACATGCTTTGGACGCGAAACATGCTTTGGACGCGAAACATGCTTTGGACGCGAAACATGCTTTGGACGCGAAACATGCTTTGGACGCGAAACATGCTTTGGACGCGAAACATGCTTTGGACGCGAAACATGCTTTGGACGCGAAACATGCTTTGGACGCGAAACATGCTTTGGACGCGAAACATGCTTTGGACGCGAAACATGCTTTGGACGCGAAACATGCTTTGGACGCGAAACATGCTTTGGACGCGAAACATGCTTTGGACGCGAAACATGCTTTGGACGCGAAACATGCTTTGGACGCGAAAACATGCTTTGGACGCGAAACATGCTTTGGACGCGAAACATGCTTTGGACGCGAAACATGCTTTGGACGCGAAACATGCTTTGGACGCGAAACATGCTTTGGACGCGAAACATGCTTTGGACGCGAAACATGCTTTGGACGCGAAACATGCTTTGGACGCGAAACATGCTTTGGACGCGAAACATGCTTTGGACGCGAAACATGCTTTGGACGCGAAACATGCTTTGGACGCGAAACATGCTTTGGACGCGAAACATGCTTTGGACGCGAAACATGCTTTGGACGCGAAACATGCTTTGGACGCGAACATGCTTATTGGACGCGAAACATGCTTTGGACGCGAAACATGCTTTGGACGCGAAACATGCTTTGGACGCGAAACATGCTTTGGACGCGAAACATGCTTTGGACGCGAAACCATGCTTTGGACGCGAAACATGCTTTGGACGCGAAACATGCTTTGGACGCGAAACATGCTTTGGACGCGAAACATGCTTTGGGACGCGAAACATGCTTTGGACGCGAAAACATGCTTTGGACGCGAAACATGCTTTGGACGCGAACATGCTTTGGACGCGAAACATGCTTTGGACGCGAAAACATGCTTTGGACCGAACATTTGACCGAAACATGCTTTGGACGCGAAACATGCTTTGGACGCGAAACATGCTTTGGACGCGGAAACATGCTTTGGACGCGAAACATGCTTTGGACGCGAAACATGCTTTGGACGCGAAACATGCTTTTGGACGCGAAACATGCTTTGGACGCGAAACATGCTTTGGGACGCGAAACATG